GAGGGAGAGAGAGAGAGAGAGAGAGGAGAATAACTAGCTTAACCTGACTTTACCTGAAATCATTTGGCGGGAAGATAACCACGTGCGCTACTTGTAATTGCTTGAGATATATCTTCGGATTAAATATTAGTGATATTTTACTGTGAACTGTCAATATGCTTGAAGACTATCTTTTGAAACACCACACGAAAGACTTGGAGGACATTTTAAATGCTACAGAGGACCATTTATTCTATTCAATATACGTAAAGTAAGTTATTTTGCTAGGTTAGCAGAGATATATCTTATTATTGTGTAATTTCTTAAATGTATCAAAGGGTAATTCCGTAGTAGCATTCTTATTTTAACTTTTTAGTTTTGTGTCATTATTTGAAGCTGATGCAGAGAATGCACAGAAAATCTTACGCAATCCTAGACATTATTTACCACTATGTGACGAGGCAGCAGTAAAAGCTCAGGAACAATTATGTAAACCTGATAATGAGCAAATAGTAAAGATGAGAGTACGAGTCTTTATTTTATTAGTTACTACATATAAATTATGCATTACTTAAAGTAATCATTTTTATTTTGACATATATATGAATATTCATATGCAGGTTCATATTCGAGTTACTGCAGTACCAATAAAAATGGATATAGGTCAAATCGGTGAGCTAGTTTCGACATCTGGAATTGTAGTACGCATGTCTCAACCCACAATTATGAAAATGAAAAAACGTTTCATCTGTAGAAAATGCAAACATATTAATGTAGTCAAAGTAAGTAAATTTTATGTTTAACAAAAAAATACAATATGAAATAACAGCAAATTATAATTTAAAGTTAATATACACATAATAATCTTATTCTTAACTTTTTTCCTTATAGCTAGAATGGGAAAAACAAACATTTAGGAATATCAAACAATGTCAATCATGTCGTTCTCAAAATTTGACTGCTTCAACGTCTTTAGAACAAGAGGATTGCTCTGATTACCAAGAAATGAAGATTCGGGTATGGACATAAAAGAATTTTCCGATTACAATATGTATTATTCTTTACTTGAACAATATTATATAAACAGGACCAATGCAAAACAGATGCAAGGAATTATTATTCAGTGGGTCTGGAAGTAGTATTATTAGATGATCTTGTTGACAAATGTAGACCTGGAGATAATGTAGATATCAGGTTTATAAATTATATATTTTTATATTTTATTAATATATATATAATTGTTATAACGTAAGAAAAATATCAATATTATAATTATTAAAATAAAATTTGATTTAGCAATTAGCTTCAATTACAAATATAAAAATATTTGTAGTGGAGTAGTTATACGAAAATGGGGTAAATTAAAGGTTGGTCAACGCGCAGAAGCTACGACATTTCTGATGGCAAATAGCATTTCTATACGCAGGAAAATCTCAGAAGCAACATTCTCTACAACAGAAATAAAAGATACATTTACAGCATATTGGGAACATTATAGAAATAATGCATTATCTGGCAGAGACAATATTCTCGCCTCTATTTGTCCACAAGTATATTCAATATTCTTAAATATTACATAGAATAATATACATTTAATATTTTACATCAACATCAAAAACATTTTAATAAATGTAACATATTTCTTCTTTAATTATATTACAGTTATATGGGATGTATATCGCGAAATTAGCGTTAGCTGTTGTTATGTGTGGTGGTGTGGCAAAAACTAATGAAACAGGAACGCGTATAAGAGGTGAGCCTCATCTTCTTCTAGTTGGGGATCCTGGCACCGGCAAATCGCAATTACTTCGTATTGCTTCTCGATTGACTACACGATCTGTCTTTACAACCGGCGTTGGAAGTACTGCCGCTGGACTTACAGCAGCTGCTGTCAGAGTTAGTACCTACATATTAAATGCTTTATTTTCATTCACCGTTTTTAATTAAGAAATCATTTATTAAATGAGTGAGAAAGAGAAAGAGAGATAGAAAGAGAAATTTATTGCGAGAGATTCATTACAGGATTCGGACGGTTGGCATTTAGAGGCAGGGGCTTTAGTGCTTGCAGACGGAGGTGTGTGTTGTGTGGATGAGTTCACGACAATGAGTTCTCATGATAGAACCTCTGTACACGAAGCAATGGAACAGCAAACAATCTCCATCGCCAAAGCCGGCATGGTGAGCACATTAAACAGCCGCTGTTCCGTTATTGCAGCTATCAATCCGGACGGTGGATGTTTTACGGGCGATGAATGGAAGACCTGCTTAGGAAATCCTCTTTTGTCGCGCTTCGATCTGATTCTTCTTTTGAAAGACACTAGAAATCCCGAATGGGATAAGTTGGCGTCGAGTCACATTTTGAAAGCTGCCTGTGAAGACGAAGAAAATAATTCGTAATAATATTCGCATTTGCTTTTTTTTTACACAATCAATATCATTCATAATAATAAAACATAAAATATTATAGATATTCTGAAACATTTATGGGTCCTTTAAATTTAACGGGCTTGTGGTCAGAAGAGACTCTCTGCGAATATTTCACACACGTACATACATTAAAACCAGTACTAACCGAAGAGGCACAGAAGATACTCAGTGCAACTTATCTTCATCATAGATCAGACCCACAAAGAAGGCCTGAGAGAACAACAGTGCGACTTTTAGATAGTCTTATCAGGTAAAACGAAAAAAACAATCATTTAAATTAGTCATCACTAATCGAAACATCTCTTTTTCGAACGTTGTCTTGACTCAATTTCAATTATCGCAATCTACGATAACATTATTGGACAATGTCTTCAGATTAGCTGAGGGCCACGCTAAACTCATGTACCGAACTAAAGTAGAAGTCATTGATGCTGTGACTGCAGCAGAATTGGTTGGAACCACATTAGTAAATAGTTCTGATGCCGGTTGTCCATTTCCAACAGATCCAGTAGCAACATATCGTTTAAAAGGTATATTTATATTAAATAATTCACGAAATGAATAAGAAATATTTTAGCATTCTTTTATACGATACTAACATGACAATGTTTTCTTACAGCAAAAGACTTACTCAAAAAGTTTAATTTACAGGAACTGGAATCATACATATAAACTTGCCAATATGTATGTTATATAATCAGAAATAAAAATCAATTTATTTTTAATTTAATATTTTCATGATAAATATCTATTAAACTTAATAATCATTATAAGATTTATCACATTTGATGATTCCACATAGAAAATATTTGATATTCGTGATTATTTTTGTAAAGATTATTTTTAACAATTTCAGTTATATTTATATATATTTATTATCATTATAATATGTTGTGAAGAAATACAAATAAAAATCATAATATATTTCAGTTTCAACAAATAACATTTTTTAACGCTTTGATTAGAAAAATTATAAAATTATTTTACAAATTTATACAATTTTCAGTAAAATCCAACTTTTTTATCGTTAACATATGTGTTCGTTTGAATAAGAACAATAGTTGTTTGAGAAACAACAGTCATAATAAAATGATTTAACATATTGCGTAAAAATAGGAATGTATAGGGTTTAACAAGGTTATAAGAAAATTATTTGTAAGTGAATATTTATAAGTAAATTAGCGTTTATATTAACATTCAACAAATATGAATCAAATTATGTTCAGTTCAAACTTGTAATTATTTGGACTTTGAATAAATTTAATTACTTTCATAACTTATAATATGATCACAATGTTATGAGACTGTGCCACTAAAATATGAAAGCTAGTAAATATAAGCAATTATATAATAATTAAATCATGATGATATGATCGATATGATTATCAAGAGCTCACTCACTTCATATAACCTAATTTGAAGATCTCATAAATAAACGGCAATACAAATTAATACATCAAACTTACATATAAAAATGTTATATGTATGTATAATTTTCTTTCAACAAAAATATTATAGTTGAAAACAAAATTCATACTATTTTCGAAAAATTTCTTTAGAATATTCATTGATACTTCGAAATAATTTGCAGTATTAACTGCATTATTAACGTTAATTAGCGTACACATCAGAGAATAAATTCGATCGTGAAGTATAATTTTTCAAGTATATTGCAGAATTTCATTGTAAGAATAAAATTTGCAATATTCTATGATAATATCGTTTTGTATAATCCATAAGTAGTGGAACTAATGAGATCTATCCACTTACTGAATGATGAAAGCCAGAACATAGTGTTTTTTGTAGGACAAATAAATGATAGAATTATTTAGTAGCGTGGTTGGCTAGCGTTAGCCATCTGCGAGCGAACTGCACTCGCCGCAACATTGCTCGCAGCATTTTGCACATGCTCGTTTCGCAAAAATGTTGTAGCAAATTCTTGCTGCGCCTTCGTAACACTCGCATCGGAGGTACGATAAATGCGATGGATCTAAAAATAGTCTCATTTTTATTTTATTGTGATCAATATCATTTAATCTTCACTCTTTCATCTATGTATATATACTATACCTTAGTAAGCAGTAAGAGATCACCACCTGCCGCAAGAAGAAAACAAATGGCGACAAAGAGCATAATAAGACCGACAAAAACACCTTTGGCCGTTGCATCAAACATACTAATTGCTGTAATTATGCCACTGAAAAATAGAAATATTTATATTTGTACAAATGCTTGCATATTGTACATAAAATTAAGTACAAATATATTAATATGTTCCAGCACCAGGAATGCCTATAGCTTGGATGCCGGTGACAATTAATTGAAAGAAGAAGACAAAGAAAAAGACCATAAAATTGAAAGAGCTGTCATTTCTGAAATATTAAAACAAGATTTATTTTTAATTTCTGTATTTCATCAGATTCCTAATATCCCAAATAATGTTAAGTGAATTTACTTAAAAGCCCTATATGCTGGTCTAAACCAGCACATAAAGGAGAATGGGGTGAAGAGTATGAGATACAAGATAGCCAAACCGAAGGCTGAGAAACCCTGGCCACACAGCATTAAGACAAATCCTCCAATTACATTCAACAGCAGAACAAAGCCATGAACTACAAACAATATTATTAAATAGTATTATCCATACATAAATAAATATTAATAAATATAAAATAGCGTTCGAGAAGTACGCTTTCGACTATTGTCATTCTATCTTCATTGTTTAGTATATGTAAAAAGATAAAATGACACGACAGCGCGATTCCAATCTCGCATACAATTAAACTTACACATCCACAGATAGTACAATTGCCTCACTGTCTTTTGAAAATCTGTATGAATTTCCACATCAATATCTTGGTAAAAGCATGGTTGGAAACAACACTTGTCTGGTAATGGCGGCCAATTATTTCGTCTTGCTAAAATACCAAGAAATAAGTACGTAAAGCATTTTACATATTAAAAATTGTAAAGTAAAGTATTATGTCAGTAATATTAAATACACAGTAATATAACTACTAACGATAGTACGGGGTATTTCTCATTTCTTCTTCCGCCCTCGCTTTCCATTCCGATTCTGCCCGTTGCTAAAACATTTGAATAATTTCTATTATCTGATCTTTGGTCTTCTTTTTCTGTGCATGTTGGAGAAAAAGGAAGAAAATAAAAATCAAAATACAAAATAAAAACAGATGAACGATGCAAAATCAGCTGAAAAGAACAGAGTTTTTAAAAGGCATTTTATATATACTCTACAAGTACATGAAATATATTGAAATAAGTATTTTAATATAAATTTACATCTGCTGGAGGTGACATGTTTCCAAGTGCTGCATTAACTGTTTGTTGGGGAGTACGAGCATATGCAGGTGGAGGTGCTTCTTGATTAGTAGGTTGAAGCGTAGCAGGTTGCTGTGTTGCACCGACTCCTCCATAGATTGGTGGATTTACTGCTCCTCTGACTTGTGTAGTTCCTTGAGTACCTTGTTCGGCAAAAGGATTATAATCTTCAAGGCCTCTACTAGCGGGTGTAGAAGTTACTGCTCTTCGTATCGCTGGATCCTATTATGTGTTAAAACATATACATTGACATTCTTCAATCTTTTAATAAAATCTCTTATCTTATCTTCCTTCTTTATTCTTTTATATATATTTGTCATATTACAGGATATACAAAGAAACATATTCAAATAAATTATTCAAAAAAAGATACTTTATTTGAATCACTTCGAAACAGAATTTTAACTCGAATTATAATCGAACGCAATAATATTAGAATAGTACACTTTATCATAATGACACAAAATTACGTACAAAATATAATATTATTAAATATATAAAGCGTAACACAGATAAAACATACAACTATGTATTTACAAAATTAGATTTTATAAATATCGACTTTTCTCTCGTTCTCGATAAGAATAAGGAAAAGTTACGCGGGCAAATTATGCCGACATTAGAATGATGACACATACAATAATCTTTAGCGGAGCGTTTAAGTTACGGCGCAAAATCGTTCGATGAATCTTATTGACTTTTAACAAAAGCGAATATCAACGAGACTAAAAACCGATTTACGCCTCAGAGCATTTTGACAGATATGCGAGCAATATTGGAGCACAGTTCTGCGTGTTTCATTTTCGTCACTGTCACACACATGAGATAAACGCTATACTCACCGAGAAGGGATCGTTAATCGTAGGCTCCCCGAAGGGATTCTCGTCAAAGCCGGACATCTCTCCTCCTCGTTCTTGCACCGATGTTACGCGGTCGAAACGCTCGCACGATTTTGATAATACTCAATTAATCTTATCTAAATCTGCCTAAACCTGACGAGCCATAATTCCACCTTTACGTACGGTGACTGACGGTGACGCCGTGGCAGCAGCCATTTATTTCGATCTACGTCCCTCACTATAGTTCCATAGTCTATGCGAACTCAATACTAGAGACCAACAGGATCGGGTTAGTTGGGTTTGATGTACATTCTGGAAGTTTGGTACGTATGATACGTATGAATGCGTATCATACGTAGAATATGTATCAAACTTGTATGATACCTTTAACATAACTCTAACGTCTAATTTATTAATTTTATTGACTAAAAAACAATATTTTTAGGTTTTTAAAGTTTTGAAATATATTGCTGATTTGAAACAACTCCAAAAACTTTCCAGTTTTATTAAAAATGTAGTTTGCAAATAAAAAACGGAAAGAAAATAATATTGAAAACCCAACAAACGAGAATGGATTAAAATGGATTGAAATTTTTTTCTATCCGAATGCGCGCGCGTATTTTAAATAGCGAGAAATAGAATACTTTTTTTTTATTTAATTGGATTCAATTAGATGCAATTGGATTGAAAAACTGCATTTTCTATTCAAAATTTTGAATTAAACAGTATTCACAATGCACAGAACAAGCTAATATTATTTTTAGATTGAAAGGCATAGAGATATATGCTCCATGCAATTCCTATAAATGAATAAAAATGCATTCAAGATTAAAAAGTATTCATTTTAACATTCGTGAATTAATATTTCTGAAAATTTGAATCCATTTCAATTTATTTCAATCCGTTTTCGTTTGCTGAGAAGTGTAATACATACATGAATTTGGAATACAATAATATTAGTATTTCATTGTAACTTTTGCTCTTATCGCGTGTATTTAATTTGAAAGTACATCTAATCTGATTACGCCAAAATTTTCTAATTAATTTTCATAATTACATCCCAGCAAATGAGAATGAATTGAAATGGATTCAGATTTTCAGAAATATTGATTCACGAATGTTAAAATGAATGCTTTTCAATCTTGAATGCATTTTTATTTATTTATAGGAATTGCATGGAGCATATCTTTATCCTTTCAATCTAAAAATAATATTAGCTCTGTGCATTGTGAATATGTTTCTCTCTCTATTCAAAATTTTAAATAGGAAATGCAGTTTTTCAATCCAATTGTATCCAATTGAATCCAATTAACTCCAATTAAATCCAAAAAAAGTATTTGCTATTTAAAATACGCATTCGGATAAAAAAAAAATTTTAATCCATTCTCGTTTGCTGGGATATTGTTGTATTTCAAATTGTTGATATCGCAGTAAAATGTAAATTTGTTTTGCCAGTCCAAAACATCTAAATGAGATCATCGGATTAAAAAATGAGGTTATGTAACGTATAATACATAAACGTATGAAAGTGAAGTAGTATCATATTTCAGTATCATAGAATACCTATGTATGATACACAGGGTATGATACGTTCTCAAACCTGAAGATCAGAGACCCTACAACCTATAACAGAACTAAAGAGAAACCTGAGAGCAACCGTCCAGGCCTTTTTCGTGTGATGCTCGAAAACGCTTGTACACTGGCGGCACCAACATCATTTTCATAAAATAATGTGAACTACGTATCACATTATTTATCACTGCTGATAAAGTCGCGTGTGTTGAAAATTGATGTGATTCGAGTCCTGCTATACATTCACAAATTGTAGATGTCAAGATAAATATAATTGTATATATAATATGTATATACTTACGTTTACATAATTTTTCTTTTACTAAATATTGATTAACATTGTCATTGATATATGTATATATACATATGTACACTATTAAGAATAATTAATTTAGCGATTATTTAAAATTATCGCTAAAAAGGAGCAAATTTAAAATTGCGTATCTTTATGAAAAATGGTTGTAGAATGGTGTTTAAAAAAGCGTGAAACCTCATTTTTTTAAATACTTAATTCAAATCTTGTGTCTCTGCAATGATTTTGCTACAAACGGCAATTTTAAATGAACCTTGAAAAATAAAAAAATAAATTTCAATTTTAATGATGTGAACGAAGGAAACAAAATTTTTTTGCAATTTTTTTTAATTGCATCTAAAATCTAGATAACATTTTCTTTCTAAAATGATTTTTTAATCATTACTATTGTTTGAACAAGTTGTAATGATTTAATAAAGTATAAGTAATGCATTTTCAGGACTTAATTTCCTAAAGAGCTGTATATTTGCGCTGGTATTCTGTTACAGTAATTTGAGCTGCATGCACTTCTGTAACATTTCATCTTGGTATTTAAAAAAAAATAAAAAACATTAAAGATTTGACTTCTTAAAATTTACTTATATATGCATAATTGTTGGAAATGCCCACTATGCATTCATTTGATAATGACGTGATGATTTGTAACAATTTTACAAAAATGAATTCTCGATTATTCATAATAACTAAAATTTTAATTATTATAGAGTTGTTACGAATTACCAAGATATCATTGTCGAATTGCGAAAATTTGCAACAATTACGTGCATAACACATATAAATTAATTTAGAAAAATTAAATTTTTGAATCAAAAATTCTTGCATTTATTCGTAATGCCAGATTACAGCATACAGAAATTCGAACAGTTGAAATTTTTGCGATTGTCAGATGAAACCAGTTCTACAGTAGAGTCACAAACCGTAAATCGTAAGAAATTAACCGAGCATAGTCAATTATTTTTGTCTCTTTCTGCGGAGATATATATATATATATATATACTGCTCGGTCGCTCGCGATTTTCATGATATACAAGAAATATTCATACAATATTCTAAACATTTCAACTTTTAACAACATTGGCACATTCTATGATGATTCTTTTACTATTCTGGAATATTCAGCACATTGGGGATTCAGCCGTCGCTCCATCCCCTTAATATGATGTTTGATTTTTATCTTGATTGATCTCAAAATTATAGCGGATGAAATAAAAAAATGGTTAGTGCCAATATAAGTGCTAGTCCGAGGAGCGGACTGTTCTTTATTGAATTGATAATTAATGTTTTAATGACTCCAGTAAACGAAAATGGATTAAAATGGATTGAAATTTTATCTGAAAATTTTATCCGAATATATATTTTAAATAGTGAAAACTTTTTTACAATTGCATTTAATTGGATTTAATCCAAATGCAATTAGATTCAATTGAATGAAATTGGATTGAAAAACTGTATTTCCTATTCAGAATTTTGAATTGAAGAATATTCACGATGTACAGAAAAAAACTGATATTATTTTTAAATTGAAAGGCATAAAAATATTTATTAACAATGTATGTATATGTATGTGTAATAAGCATAAATGTTTTTCTAAGTATTTATTGTATATTTTAATAATTTCTTAATAATAAATATAATTTTAATGATTTTAACTAAAATTTCTGTTTTATGTACCTGAGTGATTTAAAAAAAAAAGGTATCACATGCAATCTTAATTCTTTAATGTCATGCACCGAAAGGTCAATGCACCTTAGTATCGTGTGTTAAATTACACGCTTACAGTACTTCGAATATTCGTACAAACGCTGTACATATAAGAATGACAATATGATTTACTACCATGCCTGACGCACGCGCAACTCTTGCGATTCAATAACAGATAAAGCGATGTTATGGTAGCGGAACTGCCAGTCGCTATGTGCTTATCCTACCGTGTTAACTGCTTTTTTTTTCTTTTTACATTAGACAATACGTTAAACTCGCATCGCGTGTACTTAAATCCGTGATAGTGGATAAACAAGAGTGATTAATAAGAACAATTGTTACTTTCGTGCTTGGCTATGAGATGGATGAAAAGGACGTGAATATTTTCGCAGATGTATATATATAATATTACACAATATTGCCTTACACTCATATTTAATTAAAAAAAATTTTTTTTTATAAACCGTTAATAAAAATTTATGTTGCAATTATTACATAAATTTACAAGAGACCATGTTGTAACTTTATGTTAGATGAAACGCATCCGGAAGGATGATATATCGACGCACAATTGTTACTCATGCCAAAATATATATGTAATAAAAATGCAGTAGGCTCTAAAAATTCCTTTTCTTAAAGTTTATAAATTTATCATAGATTTCGGAACTCGTCCTAAATTTTTTATAAAGTAAATTACTATTGTTTCTATCCAGATTTTTATTCGATTGTAGAATGGATGTAAGCTCGTTGGTACCGGCGGGACTTCAAGGAGGGCAAACGGATGCTTGTCAGGTTCAGGCGGGATACAATAAACTTTCGGAAAATTTGCGAAAATTTACACCACAGGCTATACAGTGTGCTATTTTTTGCGGCGGATCCAGATGCAAGTATGAAAATCCAAAAGCCTGGCCGGCTATTCACATGGCAATACAGAATATCTTTTCGCATTGGTGAGCACTAAAGCTATTCATTAAAGTTTAATTGAATAACGAAAATAAAAAGTAATTACTCAATAATGAGCAAAAACAATGTTTCGCCAATATTTTTAAATAAATACCACTATTTTTTACTAAATACTATTTTTTAAAATAAATTGTTAATAAAATAACTTTGATCAATGTTTTGTATATATAAGGTTAGACTTTTAAAAAATATCAATTATCAACTACCGTAAATCTAGTAACCAACTATGTTATTATTTGATAAATATGTATTCATTCGCTTTTATATATAGTCTTGAACTATTCTAAATATCACTCGACAATATTCATAACTCGTTCAATAATTTATGTCGACATGAAGACATATGCTGTATATTTGAACCGTCTTATTATTGACATTCTGTCGAAGTATCCCTCAACAGCACCGAATATTTATTTAAATTTGATTTATTCAAATGTACATTTGGCACATTAATATAATAGTTTGTTACATCGTCATAAATAATTAACATTATAATCAGAAACTTGTTATTGTATATCGTTACCAGTTTTTGTATCAGTTTTTGATCTAAATAGTTTAATCACATTTAAATGTTTTAGGGTAACTGATGATGTCCTTGCGATGGCACGACCCAATACCACACAGATAATAAAAAAAGATATAATTGCCCAATTTCAAGGGTGGAATATAAAAACCATAATAAATCTGCAAACACCAGGCGAACACGCAAGTTGCGGTGGTCCGCTAGAAGAGAGCGGTTTTACATATGATCCCAACATTTTTATGAAAAATGATAGTAAGTATTAAAAATATTTACTGAAAGTTCGCAGTGTTTATTTTTTAGTCATTGAGAACAATTTAAAAACGTTGATTCTGTTTTTTATATTAATAGTATATTTTTGAAATAAAAACAAATCAAATTTATTTTAGATAATTTATAACTTAATAATTTTCTTGAATTTTTAAATTACTATTATATTTATTTTTAATACTTTTTTCATTGATGGATAAATCAAAGCAATGTTAGTGTTTCAATGAAAATCATTCCCACTATCAGTACATTGCAAATAATGCCCTGTTTAAAAAGCCATTTACTTAAATCAATATTATGTTATTGCCAAATTAGCAACGATAATAGTGAAAATAGAAGGGGAGTTTATCCTTGTGTTAAACGCATGTTAGAATCGTGTGGAAGCGTTTCTCCCTCGATCCTAACAACCACCAGTTAGATCGAAGAGCTTCACAATATAACATGCAATGCAGCAAAAGTGTATATCTATAGAGAGGAAGAAAATGTTCCAAAATAATTTTGCTGTCACTTATTTCCTATTACCACAGAAAAGTTTTAACATCAAGCTGTCTCAATTACCGATCACGTGAAAATCTGTTGCAGTTTATTATTATAATTTCGCCCTAAAGGATTATGGTAGCGCCACGGTGGGGAAACTTTTGGACATGGTCAAGGTTGTGGCCTTTTCCGTGCAAGAAGGAAGAGTGGCCATTCACTGTCATGCCGGTAAATCGATTTTTCGTGCAGTGCACTTGACCCAATTGCATCCCCTGCAGTTATCATGGCTTTTTTGAATGTATGATCGTATGAGATCGATGTATGTAGATGCATAAATTTCAGTCTACAGAAACACTACTTTTTTTAAATCAAAGGTCTAAGGCCAATATTCATAATCAGTTCTTATATTCAAGATCGTCTTAAATTCTGTCTTTGAGGTATCACGAACCAATCAGAAGGCCGCATTAGCGTTTTAAGTTATTACTTAAAACATTATTTAAGTCATTATTTAAGACAATCTTGAAATAAAAACGGATTATGAATACCGCCCTAAATCTTCCATTTCTCTGGTTTAACGATGTTAGCATATTTTTCTTATTTTTTAATTTAATGTTATTTATAAAAGTATTTGTCTAAAAATTGAATTAATAAAAAAATATATGACTACATATACAGTGTGAAATATTATTCAATATTACATATTCAATATTAAACAAAATTATAATATACTTTCCATAAAACTTTTAATTATTCTGCATAAAATTTTTTATTTCTTTTTTATTATTTATAAATATCTTAGCTTAACGCTATTATATTTTGCTGTTTATTTATCAATGTTTTACATTAATATTTTATTAAAATTTTTATTAAATAACTTATATACATTTTTACTTTAGTGATCTGTAAATTTTAAATGTGTTGATTTAAGAAACGTTTGAAAAGAATTTATCATGTATGAATTTGTTATGTATTGTTCTGTATTGCATGTATATAAAATCGACTGATGAAATATGCATGCATGTATATACCGTGAATTTTACACCGCACACGCGAATAGCTTCTATCAAATATTAAAAGCAGGAAATAGTAATCTTAATTAAATAATGCATGATAAAATTTAATTCACAAATTAACGTGATATGATTTTTATCAATATTTTTTTGTTAATTGTTTTACGTTTTGCACACAAATACTCTGTGTTTGAAGAATTGTATAAATGTCTAAATTATTAAAAAAATTTAAGTCATTTTAATATAAATAAATAATTTGCTACTTAGCAATCAATATTTAAATTAATTTATCAAATATGGTGCTCTTTTCATAATATTCTTTAGATAATAATTATTTGACAAAAAATAACTTGATATATAAAAAAGTCAATGCTAATTGTTGTAATAATTTCATATGTAATTAATTAGGTTAAAGCATATAATTACTGATAAATATATTAAAGATAATAAAGATAATAAACTAAGGCTGTTACGTTCCATTTAACATAATTTAACTTCACGGACGTTGCCGCGTCGCAAGGGAGTTTCATTCCATTAGAGCATAAAATGCGGATAAAACGATAAGCGATATCGAGCTTAGTAATATATTTTTAGAAAGTTAAGAACGTAAATTGGCGTATAACTAAATTTAAAAGTTTTCTTCGAAAATATTTTATTTTTCATATTGTATTATACTTCTTTTAAAAATAATTTATATATATTTTATATTTTTTCTCTATTGTGTGAGAACATTAATTCAAAAATTTTACTTTAATATTAATGAGATTAAATAATTTAAAATATAAATATATTTTTGTACTCGTATTCTATCACGTTTGTTTACGAATACAATGTACGTAAAACAATGTATACGATAAAGAAAATATTCATTTCGATATATATATGTTTGCGGAAGGCTGCGTCTAAATGTACTAATTGCCAAATTATTGTAATGGAAGTTAAAGATATAATCATTAAGGTCAGTTATGATAAATTAATATGTAATCTTCTCTTATGTTATATGATGCATACAGAAAGAAGATTGCTATCTAAATGGAATTATCTGGTTCTAAATACATTAAAAAACTTTTAATTTTATTTGTGAATATAAGTTCAATGTTGTTTTC